GTGCCTCATGATCGCTTCCGGATTGCTCGAAGCCGGTGTCGGAATCTGGTGCTTCGTGGACAGCGACTTGGCTTCGAAACTCGACGATGTCCCTCTTCTTTACAATTCTTCAGCGCCTCCTTCGTCCTCCACCAGCAGGAAGAGCCTCGAAGTCGCCTATTTGCCCATGGAAGAGGGCGAGTACGGCGTGAGTCAGTCTGTGCTCCACCTGAAGTCTTGGTATGGTCAGCCCGCCCATGCTGAGTACACGCGGGTAGTGGATCACGTGCAGGAGAGAGTGAGTGTATGTTCGTCTGTGTGTGTGTGTGTGTGTGTGTGCGTGTGTGTGTGTGTGCTGATGCCAGTTCTCTGTGGTAAATTAATCTCTAGTAATAACTACAGTCGATCCCTAAGTTTTCCAGTGGTTTCTGTGAGACCTTAATACTCGCATCAATTTCTAGAGATTCTCACAGCAAAATCAGAAAGAATCTCTATAACACCTGCGAAGTGTTTTTTCCTTTCTTTCATTCCTTATTTATCGACCTATTATGATTATTTCCGTCCGTTTCTGTGCGCGCGTTCTTGTTGGTAAATACGTCTTTTGTCATTTGAAGACTACCGAAGGCTATCGGACACAATGGAGGAAAATTATTTGGCTGAATATACTGTGTTATGTTGCCGTGGTGACTGCAGCTGCGAGGAAGGACTTTGTCAATATTAGTCAGCAAGATTATATTTTTCTGATTGTCATGTGGTGTGTGTGTTTGTTTGTGTATGTTTGTGTGTATGTTGTGTGTGTTGTGTGTGGTATGTGTATGTTTGTGTATGTGTGTGTATGTTTGTGTGTTTATGTGTGTGTGTTTGTCTTGGTTGGTTATTATATGTGTATATGTGCTTACATTGGTTTTATGTGTTGCTCTTCATGTATATTAAGTGCTTTGTGTGTTGGTCCTCATGTGTATTCTCTCTTTTGTTGTTGTGTTTTTGTATGTTTTTTGGTGTATGTGTGTATTAGTACCGTCTACATAGCCCCCCCCCCCCCCCCCTAGATAGAGAGAAGGGGGGGGGGTAGAGAGAAAGAATACATAAACACATAAACAGAAATATAACTCAACAATGGGAATGTAAATTGACAATATGAGTACTGTATAATATTGTAGATTACTATTATTAATACTAATATTAATATTTTTTATAATATTATAATATGTATTATAATATTATTAATATTAATATGTACATAGGGATACTGAGGTAAATTTACAACGCAACCTGAGCATACAGTAAACATGGCAATAAATCGTACTGTTATCACGACGGTAATATTCCACACTTAAATGTGATGCGGCGGCTGACGCTATTTGTGTTATTTTGATAAAATACCGCAATGCCAACGTAGGAGATAGCTAAGTTAACGTTTGACAATTCATCAAAAGTGGCCTCGAAGCTTTTCTTATAATTTCCAAAGCGGGATAATCTTCAACAGAGGAATATTTGCATAAAAACAAATTTAAGAGCGTCCATATGCGTAAGGACAAAATTTAAAGACAGTCCATACATTTGTGAATAGAAAATAACTGTAACATATAAGAAACGCCTAGATTAACGTTTCACAAATCAATCAAAAGGGTATCCCATTTTTTTCCTACCCTATTCGATGCAGAATTATCTTCACATTTGAGTAATTCTGCAATGTAGTTTTAAAGACACCTCCACACGTGTCCTAAACCTTCGACCGAATCAGAAACAAATTTCAAAATAAATCTGCATCGAATATAATTAGAAAAAAAAATGGAAGAGCCATTTAATTGATTGTTAATTTAGTCGTTTAATATTTTTCATAGTTATTTTTCTCTCCACAAACGTAAGGACTGTCTTCATTTTTTTTTTTTTTTTGTAAATTTTCCTCATTTATAAATTATTCCGCTTCAACAAACAAGATTTAACACACTTTGTTAATTTGATAAATTAATTACAGGGTAATGGAGGCGGACATCCGAGGTATCACGTTTAACTTTTTTTTCCTTTTTCTTATTCGAGTTGTTCTATACTAATAACTTTGGCTTCATTATCAAAATTAGATACGTTAAATCCTCATTACTACGATCACAGAAAATGAACTAAATGCACAGTCTACAAGGAATAAATAATATACATTATAGAGAACTAGAGGAGAGAAAGTGAGGAGAGATATAGAGAGGGGAGAGAGAAGAGAAAAGGGGGGGATAAATAGAGAGAGGGGAGAGATTAGAGAGGGGAGAGAGATTTAGAGAAGGGAGAGATAGAGGAGAGGGAAGAGAGATAGAGCAGATAGAGGGAGAGAGATAGAGAGGGAGGGAGAGAGAGAGAGAGATAGAGAGAGAGGGGATAAGATAGAGAGACAGAGAGGGTGGAGAGAGAGAGAGAGAAGGAGGTGAGAGAGAAGACAGAGAGGGTGAGAAAGAGAGAAAGGAAGAGAGGGAGGAGAGGGAGAGAGAGATATATATATAATGTAGTATACTGTCATCTCTAGGTTACGTTCAACAAGCGAAAACTTCTAAAGTTAGAGCGACGCTTTGATTTCTTTTTTTGTGATTTGATAAAGGCTCTCCGTCCTTTATTCAGATCTGTGTAGGATAAGAATTTGTTCGGGTACTTTTTGAACACATATTTCGTACTCAAAGTGAACACATATTTCGTGCTCAAAGTGAACCCATATTTCGTGCTCAAAGTGAACACATATTTCGTAAAGTGTATTGAACACATATCAAAGTGCTGAACACACAGTCGAAGCCACATAGTTCGTTCGAACACACAAAAACGTATTGAACACATTTCGTACTCAAACTATTAACACATAGTTCGTACTCAAAACGTATTGAACACATATTTCGTGCTCAAAGTGAACACATATTTCGTGCTCAAAGTGAACACGTATTTCGTAAAGTGTACTGAACATATATTTCTTACTTTAATCAGTTTTTAGAACACGTATATCGCATCGAGTAAGAGATATGTGTAGAAAAATGATCCTTTGGAATTTAGTATTTAGTTCCCTGAAACGAAGCACCGTAGGCGGGTCCCAGAAGTCCCAGAAAGGCGTGGAACCCAAGAAGTTACGGGGCCCAATAAAGATTACGTGGAGTATTTCTTTGTCGCCTCCTTTGCCTAAGTATTAACAGCCCTGGATCAAAGAAAATGGGAAATGGGCTCTTTAGCTCTTTTAACACTAACGACCGTAAACCACTACCTGAGTTGTGTGTGCCAGTTTGCCAGTTCTATGTTTGTATATCGTTTGGGTATTTAGTTTGATCATGATGTGATGTAGAAAAAAATCGAGATAGAATGTGTTTTCATTTCTTTTATTATGCACACACACATTACGCACACGCACACACACACACGCACACACACACACACACACACACACACACACACACACACACACACACACACACACCACACACACACACACACACACACACACGCACACACACTTATATATACATATAGACAGATATAGATATTCATTTATCTATTTATAAAGAGACATAAAGATATTCTCCCATAAACAAATGACTTGAACTACAAACGGCAAATAAAACCAGACTTGCCTTTTTCCTCCCCAGCTCTCGTGTTGCGGACTCACGGGCCCGAAGGACTACCTCTCGAGCGAGTGGGAGGAGCAAGCTAACGCCTCCTTTGCCGTCGTCCCTCGCTCCTGCTGCATCACCATCCTGCCGGAGGTAACGCGCCCTTGGAAGGCTTTGACCGTGAACGGATAGTGCCGTGAGTTGGGGGGGTGCGGTGGGAATGGAGAGAGAGAGGGAGAGAGGGAAGAGAGAGAGAGAGAGAGGAGGGAGAGAGAGAGAGAGCGGAGGGGTTTAAAGAACAGTTAACAAACGACCAAAAACACTTGTCTTACGAAAGATTTTACGAAATAAGAAATATATGTGCATGTGTTGTTTGTTGTGTGTGCGTGTTGTGTGTGTGTGTGTGTGTGTGTGTGTGTGTGTTGTGTGTGTGTTGTGCGTGTGTATGTGTGTGTGTGACAAATTAGGTCAGCGTGACCCTCGAGGCTGAGCAGAAATTTGATTAGACCGGAGATACTTCGTCGTCAAGTACAATATCTACTTTACCCCGTCAGCGTAAACTCTTGCCGTGGCGCAAGGGTCAATCACATGACCTCGTTTCGTCGTGTTCATGGGTCATTTTCACTCGTAATGCGTTGTAACATCGCGGGAAAGTAAAAAAAAAAAAAAAAAAAAAAAAAAAAAAAATCGGTGTCCTTCCCGTTTCTGTCTTTTGTTTATATAGTTTTTTAAATTTGTTATTTTTCTAAATCTCTCTCTTTCTCTCTCTCTCTCTCTCTCTCTCTCTCTCTCTCTCTCTCTCTCTCTCTCTCTCTCTCTCTCTCTCTCCCTCTCTCTCTCCCCCCTCCCTCCCCTCCCCCCTCTCCCTCTCCCTCTCCTCTCTCTCCCTCTCCCTCTCCTCTCTCCTCTCTCTCTCTCTCCCTCTCTCTCCCTCTCTCTCCCTCTCTCCCCTCTCTCTCCCCTCTCTCCCTCTCTCCCTTTCCCCCTTTCATTCTCTCGCTCTTTCTAACTCCATAATACCGATAGTTGTCGTAGAGTTGAGAAAGAATAAAGAACTGATTGTGGTCATAAAAGTAGCATTATGACCGTTGATAGCAAAACTTGGTGAGGTCCTTATGAATGAAATGTGAATCAGTCCAAGCGGTATGTATGTACACTACGCACATCCACATACATATATACAGAATGTACACTACGCACATCCACATACATACATACAGTATACGCACACGCGCCAGAGGTCTACATAAAATATTAGGAAAGAAATCTCTTACGATATACTACTTAATATATTTTTATCTACTACTCATGAGGACGCCTCTAATAAAGCTATATTTGGCACGACTGATGACTTTGATCACATAACTGACGAGATTAGTGTATAAAAAGGGATTATTTTTCCCGGGTACCTCCGTTCATAAGAACATAAAAATATATGATGTTTTTATT